CTGCTTCGACTTCGCGCCCTGCCGCCGCCACGGCTTCAAGGTGTACGTGTACCCGCAGCAGAAGGGCGACAAGATCGCCGAGAGCTACCAGAACGTGCTGGCCGCCATCGAGGGCTCGCGCTTCTACACCTCGGACCCCGGGCAGGCGTGCGTCTTCGTGCTCGGCCTCGACACGCTCGACCGCGACCAGCTCTCGCCGCAGTACGTGCACAACCTGCGTGCCAAGGTGCAGGGCCTCCACCTGTGGAACAACGGGAGGAATCACCTGATTTTTAACCTGTACTCCGGGACCTGGCCCGACTACACYGAGGACGTGGGCTTCGACATCGGGCAGGCCATGCTGGCCAAAGCCAGCATCAGTACTGAAAACTTCAGGCCCAACTTTGATGTTTCTATTCCGCTCTTTTCTAAGGATCATCCTAGGACAGGAGGGGAGAAGGGATTTTTGAGGTTCAACACCATCCCTCCTCTCAGGAAGTATATGTTGGTATTCAAGGGGAAAAGGTACCTGACAGGGATAGGGTCAGACACCAGGAATGCCTTATATCACGTCCACAACGGGGAGGATGTTGTCCTCTTGACCACCTGCAAGCATGGCAAGGACTGGCAAAAGCACAAGGATTCGCGCTGCGATAGAGACAACACCGAATACGAAAAGTAAGTGAGCGCTGCCCTCCGCCGTGTCTGTGATGGGGGAGTTCCAGCCTTCCCGGGTGTCCCAGCAGGATCCCAGCCTTGCCAGGTGCCCGGCGGGTCCAGCCTTCCYGGCACGGGGCTCGCTGCTGCTCTCAGGCACTCGGCTGTTTAAGGGCTGGTCCGTAGGCACTTCCAAGGCAAAGCAAAGCCGAGATGTTGGGGGCTGTTTGGGGCTCCTGGGGTGTTTTCTCCGTCTCCGGCTGCTAGCGCGTTGCAGTGTGTGGGGCAAGGTGGGAGACGGCGACGTGGAGCCGCGGGGCTGTCCGGGACCTGTGGAGCATCCGTGCGGAGCCCTCGGCAGTGCCTGGCACTCTGTCCACCTGGGCAGATGCCCCTTCCCACCCAGCCTGCGGTTCTGCTCCAGGGCATTACTTGGGGAGAGCGGCTCCGGGGGTGCCCGTGCCGGCACCGCTTCCCGCRGGAGATGCGCCGGGCTCCCCAGGGCGCTGCTGGAGCGCGGGCTCCGTCCTGTGCCCGCCGGCGACACGCGCTTCGCTTCGCTTGCTCCCGACTCCCTGCAGCCTCCCACGAGGACGAGTGTGTAACTCACCCGGCATCTGTTTCCTCTGTSCCCCTGCTTAAAATTCTTATCATCGAATACTCTGGCGGTATCAGAGAATACTCCATAGGGCTCCAGTGAGCACAATGTGAGTTTAGCTAGCGCCTGGTTTCTTTGTCTTCCTGCCTTTTTTCTTTCTTTCCCCCCCCCCCCCTCTAATATTGGCACTATTTGTAAGTTTAGCCAAATTTTCGGCTGCTGCAGCGCTGCCCTCGTTACCCCTCATGCACTTTCGGGTTTGTATGTGCCGCGCCGTGGGCACTGCCTGGAGAGCAGCCGTGACGAGGAGGCTCTTTGGAGCCGATCCGTTCATTTAAGTGCTGCCGCAGAGGGAATAAACGGGGAGTTTCTTGCACAAAAGTGATTCCCAAGTAGTGGAAAAAACTAAATGTTAAATTCCCAGTTTGCTGGGATCGCTCTCCRTGGAAATCTGCGGTGGAGGCTCGAGGGAGTTGGGTGGCCCCGAACCGCGAGGCTGTGCGTGTGTGTTCCTGGGTGAACTTTATCCACCTTCCGCTTTAAAGCCACCTTAGGCAGGGAAAAGACAGCAGCACAAASAGTTGACAGGATTTTAGTGCCATTTGCAGGCAAAAAGATGATGCCTGAATGGCTAAGTGATGCATACACAGGGGAAAAGCAGGATATTGATCCAGGCGTGCAGCTGAAGCGCTGCGGTGTGTGATCCGGGAGGCTCTCGCTTGGCATCTCCCTAGCACAGTGTCTGAAGAGGGGACTTGATTTGTGGGAGAAAATGACTCTGGCCTTTCAGGTTATGTTTTTGTCTGGCATTGGTTTCAGTAACTCGAGCTACTATAAAGACTGGAAGGTGCAGATGGTTTGATACGCTCTCCAGGTTGTGTGCTGTAGGGTTCTTATAAAAGCAAACATACCAGCCAGTTGTTTGACATGAGTAAGGCTGTGTTCATTTTTTTTTTTTTCAGCTATGCCATTTGGCCTAATAAAAGATAAACTTCTCAATATAAACTCTGCCCCTCCTAAAAAAAGGAAAAGGAAGAAAAAGGGCTGTTTTGTAGCTTGGCATGTACATAACTGTGTATCAGAGAATATGGAAACACTAACCCAAACGGTATGCCCTGTTACTCATGTTTAAAGCACACTTGCTGCTGAAAGGCAGCATATCTAGGGTGGTGTTTGATGACTTTAATATTCCATTGTAGCATTGCTGTTTGATACAGGAAGTGAAACAATTGTGAGGAGATGGGGTCCCAAGCAGAAATGAGGCAGGTTGTCAGGCTGAGCYTGTGCTGCGTGGGTGTCTGTGGGCAAGGAAGAGGGTCCTGAGCCTCAGGAGCTGCTGTGTGAGATGCTGCCCCAGCCTCCTGCTGCTGCCTCTGCCTGGGTGCTGCCTTGCAGCCAAGATGCCACCTAGTGATGCTCCGAATCCGGGCTGCTCCCGTGCCTGGCACGCTGCTCCGTGGGGAGCAGCCGGCAAGGGCACCTCCCGAGGGGACGCCGTGTCCCTCTGTGCCGCTCGGGACTGTGATTGTTGGCTGGGGTTGTCAGGAGGGCTCCTCGCCCGGGCTGGTCCCAGTAGGCTGCGCTGACTTGTGCATCCTGTAGCCGGGCTGGGAGGCTGCCGGCGGGGCTGCCGTGGTGGCTGTAACCTCAGCGGTCACCCTGTGTCCGTAGGGCTCTGAGCAGAAGGCAGCAAAGTGCGTTCTCCACCACAGGAACATTTGCCCAGGTGCAGAGAGTTGGAGAAGTTTCCAGCTGCTCTGTGCCTCTTGCCGTGGCACTTGCATGAAAGACAGGAGCGACGATGCCCCGTCCACAGAATGCTGGTCCCTGCCAGGGGGAAATACGAGCRTTTGGCTGCAGGCTCTGCTGAGGTGGGTAAAGCAGGTGGTGGGGTTAAACACAACCCCAGGGGAGCAGCGCTGTCGTGCCGGGGTCATAGGGGCTCTGCCTGCCGTGGAGCCCCGAGCCACTCTCCTGCTGCATCCGCTGCTTCGTGCCTGGGAAGCTGAGGGAAGGTGGGAACGATGTCGCCCTCACCTGTGGAGGACACATAGGGCGTCTGGGGACGGGCAGGGGAAGGAGGCTTCCGCATCCCTGCCTTGCAGCGGGTCCATCCRTACTTGCAGTTGGATAATCTGCACCACAGTTACTCACCTTGGCACATGAAGCTGATGCAGGGTAACATGAACTGTGTTTTGATCAGACCYGTAGCAAACAGGTTATAAAGGAGGAAAACAAAGGAAGCCTCTCGTTTCTTCACTGAACCCTTGTCTCTGTCCACGTTGGCCCTTACAACCTCACACGAGGGCAGATGGATTTCCCGAATTCCTCTGCAGTAGAATTTATTTTCCAGCTTTGTGTTTCACATAGGGTTAAGTAACAAACAGCGCTGCTGAAGTTTGAAGACAACCTCTTAAATATTTAATGACAGTCTAAATATATACATATGTACAGTGTGCTTTAAACAAAGGCAGAATTCATGTACAGGCTTAACTGGTTCCAAATAATTACCTTTTGGAGGGGAGTAGAAATGGCTGTGGATAATGAAAGAGATTGAGGAATGCGGTGTTGTAATGTAGCAAGATGCGTGAAGGATGTTTGCACCAAAACTGACCTCTTTCGAGGAAAGGGACTGTGCTGCCCGCAGCAGGTCTCCCATCTGTGAGCAGCCCTGGGCTCACAGAGAGCAGCGACGGCTGCAGCCGTAAATGCGAGGCCTTGACCAAAGCTTAGGTTAATTGGAGGCTTTTTGTTGCTGTCTGTGCAGAATAATTGAAATTAGTGATGGAAGATGAATGCGTGGGGAAAAGCAAATGCTGAAGAGGGTGGGAAGGAGAGGGACAATTCGCCAGAACAACTTTATTTTTTTATTTTATAAATTTGTTCTTCTTTTTAAGTGTATGTGTTTCATGGAGGACACAGCTAGCGTGGCTTGGCGCCCTTTATGCTCTTAATGTGTTTTTCATCTGGTAGGTGCTCTAACCGACTGTGCCATGAGACCAAATGGAGAAATGCAGGTAAAATGCAGAGGACAGTGGCACAGGGAGGGAATATGGAAGGCTTTCAGTTTGGGATGAACCTTCCTAAAGGGCAGTGTTAACAGTTTAACATGCGTCCAGTGGGGCTGTGTGTGTAGTTGAATGGTGAGTGTGTGTGCCTAGGCACACACCTGTGGATGTTTCCATTGATTTCCTGGTGTTCCATGGGTTTACCTGGGATGCACTCTACTGGTAGGACTTGTGTCAGTCGCAGYACAGTCTCCTGCCTATAAAAATGCTGTCCCAAGCCCAAGTTACAGTGAAATGCTATAAGAATAGAAAGAAAGGCAAGTAGTAGTTTGGATGAAACTCAAGAACTACCAAGTGAGCCTGGGCATTTTCCCAGAGTATCTTGGCTCCCGCAAAGACCTATCCCCACCAGACTCCTTTTTATTTTAACATCAATTTTGAAGCGATTGGAAGAGTGCCTGCTTTACTGTGCGTTTATCCGGAAACGCGGGATGTGGGTAAATAACAAAGCACCCGGCTTCGGTGCGCGCCGGAGCAGGTTGGAGTTTGTGCTGACACGTTCCTGCGTGCCTTACGAAGCGTCCTCGTGCGCCGGCGGTGCGGGGTTAATGGCAGTGGCCTCGTGGAGAGAAAAATGCTGCTTTGGGGGTGTCTTGTGCCCCCCTGGACGGGGTCTCTGGGGGCAGAGGTGCCGGGCACAGCGTGTCCTTGCCCAGCTCTCGGCAGCGAGGCCCTTGGCCCCCCTGTTGGAGCCAGATCTCTGCCGCCGGTTGCAGGGGGGCTCTTCGCTTCATCCCTGTCTTCCTCGCCCTCTTTCCTCCTGCTGCCTTCAGTGTTTCCCCTTCCCTTCTTGCCTCCGCGTTCCCCCTGCTCCTGCCTGCCCTTGTGCCCGGCCCTGCTCCGCAGTCCTCCGGAGGCTCCGCACAACTCGCAGCAACAGTTCCCGTCCCTTTGGCTGAGGTGGGTGATGAGCCTGGAGTGTCACTTCCCATGAGGCTGCTGCCCACCCTGATGGCCRCTCCTGCCTCCCAGCGTGCGGGAAGGGCCCTCATGGAGCCCCAGGATCAGCGGAGCTCCGGAGTGGCCGCCTGTGTGGCCAGTCACATCGGGTCATGCCTGACGCCCTCCCACCTCAGCCTCAGGAATTGCGTTTCCATGTGGGAAGAGATGTTGGGATAGTCGTGGCCTCCGGGCTGTTCTGCGTGGAGCTTCCTCAGCGGCCACAGAGCATCCCCTTGGAGCGACCTGCTCCGGTTTGGCTGCCTCCCGGCCAGGCTGGCGCTGCTCCTGCTCTCCGCACCTGGAACTGCTCTAGGATAATTGCCTGCTGCACTGTTAGTGCTGAAACATGCCTGGCAATAGAGCAGGGCTCCAGTAAATAAATTATATTAAAAAAAAAAAAAAAAAGATATAAG